CGAAGACTGAGAACATTTTCAAAAAGCCAAGGCCTGGGTAGAAAATCCAGAAGGCCCATCTTCAGACCTAATCAGTACCCTTGTACTTGGGGTAATGCACGCACATGCACATGTGCATATGCACACACGCATGTGCACCAGAGCTGACGGGTCTACGGTGCACGTCAACCACTGCTCCCTCCCCGCATCAGCAACCCATTCCTGCAGAATCCACACAAGTCTGTCTCTGTGAGACTCACAGTCATTGTTGCGAAGGGCACAGACGCTGGAGCTGGACTTCCTAGGTCAAGATCACTTACAAGCCTTGTGGCTGCCTTGTGCTTCTTACATAATTTCTCGGAGCCTCAGTTTCATCATCTACAAAATGAGAATACTAGAGCATCTACTCATAGGGTTGCTATGGGATTTTACTGGGTTAGTTGACATAAACTTTTTAAACTAGTCTCTGGTGCACAGTCGGGCTCCCCCAGTCTTAACTAACATTATTAGTGTCATCGTCATCATCACCTCCACTGTCCCCACACTTGCTGAGGTGCACCCCATGCTCTAGGCACCTTGGACCACTCACTCCTGCCCATGCCATGCTCTCTCGGGCCTCCATCCCTCGGCACCTGGTTCCTCTGCCCACAAGGACCTCCCACCCTTCTCTTTCAGGAGCGCTCCTACTGATTCATCAAAACCAGATCAAATGCTACCTCCTCCATCACAACCCCATAAACAGTTACTCCCTCCTGTGTTCCTGTATACATCAAAAAATTTAAATGTGTTGCACAGGACCACAAACTCCTAAAGGGGGGGTATCTTTGCCAACCCAGTCCTGACCCAGTGTCTGGCTCACGGCAGGTGCCTGACAAGTGGCAGTAATGAGATGCCAGGGGAAGGTGGTCTTTGGAGCCCATAAGTAGGGCAACTCCTCCATGTGGGCTTAAGCAAAAAATGCAACTTAGGTGCGGTGGAGGTGCAGCAAGCAGCAACCCATGCCTGCCCCTGCCAATGTTCATGTGGAAGCATCAGAAAACCCAAAAGTGAGGAACAGTGACAGCTATTAACTCTCAGTCTGTGCCCCACGCTGGTTCCCCCTCCTCCACCTCAACACACCCAGTTAGAACCACCCCTTCCTCTCACCGTCTACACCAGCCCTGCTAAGTCCTGTCGATTCACCCTCCAGAGCACCGCTCAGATCTGCACACTCGGCATCATCTCCCAAAAACGCTCAATCCCATCATCTCACGCCTGGACCTCCCCAGCAGCCGCTAAGCTGGGACTCCTAGCTCAGATCCTGCTCACCCCTGCACAGCAGGAAAGGGATTTTTCTTTAAAGGGGAATCTGATTGTATGGTTTTCCTTCATAAACCTTCCCATTGCACTTAGTACAAACCCGAGCTCGCCGCAGGGCCCAGCATGCCCTGACTGGTCGGCTCCTGCCATCCCTCTCCTCCCCCACCCCCTCCCCACTGCCAACCTCCAGCTGTGCTGGGTCCTGACACTTTCTGGAAGAAGCCAGGCTTTTCCTACCCCAGGGCCTTCGTATGTGCTGTTCCCTTTGCCTGGAGGCCTGTTTCTGCTCTTCCTAGAGTTGGCTCCTTCTCATTTACAGGAAGCCTAAAGGTCAGTTGTCTAGAGAGGCTTCCTCTGCCCTTCCTGCTCAGAGCAGCCTGTGTCCAGCCCCCACCTGTGGACTTCGGTCCCAGTGTGTATTTGCTTGCTGCAAAGCACTTACTACATGTTGTGTCTAATGGTTTCATCTGTTTCTCCAGAGATGGGAAATGCCTGAGGGCATGGGCCGAGTTTGTCATGCTCCCTGTTGCCCTCATCACGTGATAGGGCACCTGATTTAGTGAATCTCTGTGGAATGGCAGACTGTGCCAAACACCCATAATATGCCAGGCAAGGTGCTGGAGAGGCAAACGTGCAGCTCATAAGATCTCTGCAACAATTCCGAAGGTAGTATTATGTCCACTTTACACACAAAGACACCCTGTGGGGAAGTTAACTTGCCCTGTGTCATAAAGACAGTAAATGGCCAAGGCGGCACTTGCATGCAGCTCCGTCTGACTTTCTGCTCTTCTGGACTGCTGTCCAAACCCTGTCACAGCCCAGGGTGCTGGCAGGGCTTCCAGCAGACCCACGGCTTGCTATCAATGTGAATGGTGCATCCACACAGGTTCTCTTACAGCTCTATCCTCATCTTTATTTAAAATATCCAGACATCAGATTTAAGGAAGACCCTGCTGAAATGCCCAAATGACTCTAGCGTAATATTTGTATGGATTATTAGTATTAGTTATAATTTTCACTTGAGTCTGAATGTATGGGGAAATGGGATACAAACCCCCCCCTGCAGGCTGACTCCTGTGAACCAAGCGGTGAGTGAGGACTAGAAGGTGGACAGATGGCCAAAGTGGTAGAGGCTGGCTTTGGGTGAGATCAATGGGAAACACATCTGCTACAGTGACAGTGACCTTTCTAACCATCTATTAGCATTAATGGTACACAGTGGTCAGCCAAAGGCCGGCCCAAGCAAGGCCAGTCAGTCATGGGTCTCACCAGCAAAGCTTGCAGTCCAATGCAGAAAGTGGATCTACAGTGAAAGCTCTACCAACACCACCACCACCGACCAAACAGCCAGATGTCATACAAGGCCCTCGACATTTGTCATGTCATTAAATGCTCATAACAACCTTTTGCAGTAGGTTAGACTAATATTATCCTCATTTCAGAAAGGAGAAAACGAAGGAACAGAAAGGCTCGGTTAACTGCCTCAAGTCCCACAGCTACCCAGTAGCAGGGCGGGAGCTGGCCCTCTCTCTCCAGTTTGCCCCACACACGCCCTGCTCTCACATGACTGGAAAGCCCTTCCATCTGGTCCCCTACAAGTGCACAGACTTTCTCTCCCCTCCTCCAATTTCTAATACTTCAACTGATTTTCTTCAAAGCGCATTCATGTCATGCAACTTTTTATGGGCAAAGAGAGGGAAGGCGTCTATTATCATGACGGAAGGGTGTGGTGATGAGCAGACAGTGTAGGAGTTACGTGAGAGCACAGTGCCAAGCCCCTGGGCTCGGCGACAGCAGGTTCCCTTCCTTCCCATCAACCCTGCTACTGCCACAGACCCCAACCTCGTCTTGGGGATTTACAACCAACAGCAAAGACTGCCACCGACCTTAGTTTCGCCCGGCAGTTCCCAAATGTATTTAACCACAAACACCCATGTTGAGAAACACCTGTTCCACACAGCACACAAATGTCAGGAAATGCTCACCTGACCTGGGAGCTGTGCACAAAAAGAGGGGTGTGAGGGAGGAAGGGCTGGGGGGCTTCCCCAGAGCAGAGTGCATGACCCTCGCCACTGCAGCTCTGCCCCACAGTGCCTGCTGCTGGAGCACACACCCAAGCTGCCTCTTCACCTTCACTGACCTTGGCCCCTCTGGGCTCCCCGGTCAAGAGGAAGCCACATCGGCTGCCCCTTGAGTTTACTCCCCGGGGATTTCACATCCAGGGACGTCATCTCTGTGTTTATAATCTGAGAAACCATCATGAAACAGACACGCTCAACAAAAAGGCTGGTGCTGGGATGACCCCCAGGGCCAAAGAGGGGCGGCAGTGGGTGATCTCCCCAGGAGATCTTGCTTAACGGTTAAGTGTTCTACATGCATCCTATCACTGCATCCCCCTAAAAATCAAGGGTTAGTCTCACCTCCCCATGATACCAGAGAGGACAGGAGGCCTTCAAAAGGGGAAGGGCAATGGCCAAAATCACAGCAGGGGATAAGTGGGGCCCAGGACCCTGGCCTGGGACCAGTGCCCTGTTGGGAGCTCACACCCTGAGTCATTCTGCCCCCTGCACTGTCTATGTGTGGTGCTGGGATGTGGCCAAAGGATGGACAGACAACTTGGCAGCCTGAGCCACGTGGTGGGGTGGGAGATTTGAAACTGAAACCGCAAAGGGCAGTTTAGATGGGGGTCTCAGACCACAACAGGGCTGGGAAAAGGAGGACCCAGTTGGGGCAGACAGGAGCCCTCCGCAGCCCCCAGCAAATGTGCCCCCTGGGGCAGGTTGCTCTGGCCTGGGAGCTGCAGCCGGTGGGGTCTGAAGGCGGCTGCATGCGGCGGCTTCATGAACAGGAAGAACGCCTGTCACTGGGCACCTCACTCTGCCACCCGGGCCCCTGAGGGCTCCCTCAAGGCTGGCAGAGCGGGGCTGTTCTGACCATCACTGACCTGGTGCAGGACTCTGCCTTGCCCGGTGATGTCTAACCTCACGAGGCATTCTTGGGCAGCTAAACAGCCAGAAGCCAGACTCCCTGCTGCTGCAGAGACTAGTGCTGTCCAGACTGGGCTCTGGGGGCTTCTGGGGCTCCTTGGAGACCATTTGGGGCCACAGGGACAAGGTTGGGGGAGAAGGCCAGTGGGTAGAGTGTGCCAGGCTCTGGAACCCCTCCCCCAATAAAACTAGAACAGAGCTCCTTGAGCCTGTTATATAAATGGAGTGTCTACATAAGCTGTGATCTGAAGCCAGAGCCATGCTTAAACATGTCTGAAACTGCTGTCTTTTTGCCCCGTGCTATCTCTAGGCCACCTTCCCCACCCTAAACATGTGCAAACGTCTCAGTTTTGGCCAGCACCAAAGGGAAGGGGCTGGTCCCCCCAAGTGGGAGACCAGGGCCCTCCGCGCTGCTGCTCCCAGAGACACGTGAGACTCTGGCTCTGCTCCACTCAGTGGAACAAAGTGGCTGTGGGCAGTGAGCACGTTTGCACCAGGGGTCTGAGAAATGTCTGTCTGCTCACACCCTCTCGGTGTGAGAGCCAGGTCAGCACCGCGCAGGAGCCTGGGCATCCGGTGCACCGGGAGTCAGCATGGGCAACAGCCACAGAGGATGCTGGGTACTGAGTGTGCAGGAGGCAGGTGGCCACCAGGTAGTCCCCAGGTGGGGTGGGGGGGCCTGTCCCTGCCCACAGGAAGGTCATTCCCCCAGGCTCCTGGGGGCGGGGCACTCACAGGGCAGCGTCTCGGCGCTGTTCTTCTGGATCATTATGCAGAGCTGTAGCACCAGTTGGGGGGCGCTCTCCAGGAAGGTCTCGAGGAGGCGCAACATGTTGACGTCTGCATATTCATACATCATAGCCCAGTAGAAGCGTCGCTGGTGTTCCTTCCGCCGCTGGCTCTGGATCCCCAGGTACATGGTGCGGATATACCTGCCGAGAGGGACGGAGCAGAACAGAGAGCGTGGGTGGGGGCGGCAGCTCTGGGAGGGCCACATTGCCCCCCAAACCACAGCCACCTATGCTGGGGTCTCCTCCTTTGCTCTGAGGGGTCCTCCCAGCCATGGACACAGATACAGACATGAGGGTAAGGCTTCGGGGTAGCATTTGTGGAGCTTCTACTAAATACCGTGGCTGGCTGCGTCCCAGGCAATAGGCAGGGGCAGTTCTCACATGGGACAGATGGGCAACAACCAGGGATCCACAGCTGGATGGTGGAGCAACCAGAAGCTGGCCCTAGGCCGTTGGACACCAAAGCTCCTGCGCCCCTCAACACAAGGGAGACAGAGTCTTCCCTGAGCCTCAGTTCAGGTCTGGCCCAGGACGCTGTCACACCAGTGCACTGAGCACCAGGGAGGACCAGGGGCAAAGGAAACAGGTTCAGGTAGAGTACATGGGCTCTGGGTTCAAATTCCAGCTTTGTATTTGCTAATGGGACCTTGCACTAATTACTCCAACTCCATGCCCTTGTTACACTTTAACATGGAGAAAAGAATCACAGCATCCCAGAGTAGAGCGTGGGGAAGAGTAGGGAGGCAGCAAGAGTGGTGGGCATACATCTTTTGTCCAGTACGAAAACCCCATGCCTCCTTTTACCTGAACTCTCCGGAGCTGTCTCCAAGCCCCAGCCAATGGGAGGATTCAAAGTACTAAGTCAGCCAGCAGTCTCTGAGGCTGGCCAGGGCCAGAGCAGCCGGCAGTGCCAGGGAAAAGGAACGTTTAAAAGGCTTGGCTGTGTGGCTCAGTTAGGATCAAGAACATGAACCGTGAGCCGGGGACCACAGCCAACAGGACAGACCCACACGTGTGGCCCTGACTATCCCAGGGAACGTAACCATTGTGCCTTCTACGACACTGAGCCTGAATCTTAGAGGCTGACACCCTGTGTCATCCTCACTGTCTTCAAGCATTGTCACCTGCCCACCTGGGGCTGCTGGGTGGTCCCTTCTCTCTGTCCCATCACCACCACCAGCCTGGTCCCTGCCACTACCCGTCCTGCCCCAAATCAAAGCAGAAGCCTCCACATTGGTCCCCCAGCACCCACTCTGGCCCCAGAGCCACCCACTCACTCTGTACACAGCAGCCAAGGTGCTGTTTGAAAATCATAAACGCAATCACGTCAACCCCTGTTTTCATTGGCCCCACGGCTTCCCATAATGCTTAGAATCAAATTGCCACACGGGGCCCTGCCTGCCCCTCACCTCCCATTCTCTCTCCCCACTTTTCTGTGTCTTTTCCGTCTCCCCCGGAGCACATGAGCCTGTCTGTTGTCCATGCTGTGTCCCCAGTGCCTATGGCTGTAGAGGGAAGACACCTGCCTTTCAGGACTGAGGAGCCCCGGTAGGACGACTCTCCGGTCTGCAGTGAACTTCTGGGAGGGATCATAAAGCAGGACACAGAGAGTAGCCCTGCATTTCCCCTGGAGCAATGCGAGACGGGGCGCTGCCAGAGAACCTTGCACTGATGTTACAGAAGCCCATGCTTCAGAAGCAAAGTTGCCCAAATATACAACCGTAAAATAATTTCAGCCTGTGGAGCGATGCTCTTCTCCATGTCCAGAATGGTGGGACTCCCTGCAGAGTGCTTATCGTGGACTGGCCCTCACAGATGGCAGCTGCTCCAGGGTCCCCTGGGGTGTGCTCGGGACACAAGGCAACCCTGCACACCGTCGCCTGGGACCTGAACCCAACACACGGGCAACCATGCACACCCATCCAACACCCGACAGAGGGGGCTGAGGCTGTCTCTCTGGGTTCCGAGGGGCCTGTGGGTGCTGCCTCTCTGGAAGGCCTGCACAGAGAGGCTGGGATGGACACCTCATTTCGCTGCAGACACACTCCCAGGAGTGAGCGGAGAAATAGTTCTGCCAGGAACTGAAGGCAGGAAGGCGGGAGGCTCAGGCACAGGAAGGGTGGCACAGCAGTGGGGACCCTGTAGGGAAGGGAGGGGTGGGGAAGGGCAGGAGCCCTGGGCCCATCACCTCCTAGAGTCCCTGCCAGGCCTTGTGGGGCAGGCTGATTATTGTCATTTAACAAACAGGGAAACTGAGGCTTGGAAGTGAAATGAAGCACCAAATCCTCATTCTGTTCCAGACTCTGTCACTTACTAGCTGTAGCACTTCCCATGAGTCATGGCCTCTCTCTTGGCCTCAGTCTATAAGTTCCCAAAGTCAAGGGACCAGGGAAGAAGCTCAGAAAAGGGCAGGGAGGTTATTGTGCCTTATCTGTAAAGCCACAGGGTCACAGAGAGAGAGAGAGAGAGAGAGAGAGAGAGAGAGAGAGAGAGAGAGAGAGAAACAGGGAAACAGAGAGAGACAGAGAGGGAGATAGACAGGGGGACAGAGAAAGGCACATACATCACAGAGAAGGGACGCAGGAAAAAAGAGAGAGAGAGATGGGAAGGAAAGAGGAGTTGAAAAAGGAGAGGAAAGCAGTATCAAAATTTGGGGGCCTGAAGGAGAGGGCCACCTGGAAGAGACAATGGCCACAATAAACCTGTACAGGGAGGACGCATTATAAGGAGACAGGTCACGAGGAGTCTGGGAGGGATTGGGTAGGCCAGACTGAATCAGGGTGGGAGGAAGGGTCAGATGGAGCCGATCCGGCAGTGGCTCGGGCAGGCAGAGCAGTGGGGGACAGGGGTGTGCTGACTCAGGGACAGAGGCAGGGCTGCGAGTCAGGAAGCTCTGCGCCAGCGCTCGGAACAGCCATGTGCCCCGCCGAGCTGTGGGGCCAGCGGCCTCACAGGTCACATGTGGTGTCCACGATCCAACACTCAACTCGACCTACATGGACACCTGTGGCACACAATGCTGTGGGCCCCAGACTCCCACAGGGACAAGATCACAAATGTATATACTCTTGCAGGGGTGCTCTCAGACCACAGACTCTTCTCCTGGCCTAACAAGGTGGACCGAGGTGGAGAAATGGTTATGTGGCAGCCAAGCTTCTGCATGCAGGACCCAGGCCAAGTAACACCATCACTCAGATTTACCCAGGTCTGCCCCACCAGGGAAAAAGGAGCACTTGACCTGCCCCTCCAGGCCCCATTTCCCCAACCAACAAGCCCCTCTGCCCATCATGGCCAGGGCAATGGAAGGCAATGAGCCCAGAACGTGCCGAGTCAACTATAATGCCTAGCAGAGAAACAAACCTCAAATATTCTCTGTGAGAGCATCCCAGCGTATAGGAATAAGTAAAGGTGGGAGTGGGCAAAGCCAGAGCCTTGTCCTCTGGTGCTGATAAACGAATAGGTGCTGGGGGCCCAGAGTGCACCGGGCTCAAGTCTGAAACCAAATCTGGAAAACACGCCTCCTAGAACAGCAGCCCGCATAGTCTCCCACCCTGGAGTCCAGCCTAGGATTTCCTGATCAACTGCCTTCTACCTATTCTGTCCTTTTGGCTTCTGAAAACTCACCTTCTCTTCTTAAGTCCTTGGGTCCCCAATGGACACACAACTAAGGGGTGTGTGAAATCTAGAGTGAATCTAAGTGCCCTGTGGGACACCCAGCCAGCTGCCTAAACTAAGTCTCCAGCCCCTCTGCAAAGACAGCCTTAGCCCATGGCCACAAGGTGGCGCCCGACCCTAAGCCACACAGGAAAGAGCTCTAGAGGTGATCTCATCCTCAGCAAGCAGCCTCCCGAGGCCCAGCACCACCTTCCTTTGCAGAAACCTCACAGGGCAGGAGATGGTGGGCCCAGATGTGTTCAGTTCCTATGGAAGGGACACAAGGTGACACAAGGTGGGGGCTGCTCCCCCAAATCGTCAACCTCTCTCCCTCCCTGGTTCCAGAAAGCTCACAGCCACAAGGGAAGCGGTCCAGAAGGAAAGACACTCAACTCTCCTGGATTCGTTCCCACATCTCATGTCACCACCTGTCACACTGTCTCTCTTAAGAGCATGGCATCATGAAATTCATGGGTCTCAAAGCAGAGAGTCAGCGCGTCCTCATGGAGCAAGGACTCAGCAAAGCTGGTCCACGGTCCGTCCGCATGACCTTGGGCAAGTCCTGAGGCTGGGCCTGCACTATTCGCCCATCTGCTGGGGGGGCAGACCCGAAGATCTCCAAGCTTCCGCAGATGCTCTGTAACTCCCACCTTCTTTAGGTGGGTGGCTCTGCAGAGCCACGGTATAGTCTAGCATGTTTACAAATAAAGAGCACCTGATGTTTGTGTATGGGGCTCACAGGTGCCAGGCACTGCTCTGAGCATGTCGTATTTATTAACTCATTTAGTCCTTGCATCAACCTGTTGAGGCAGACACAATATCGCCCTCATTTTACAGAGGGCAACTACATCACCGAGCTAGGAACCTGGCCTGAATTTACCGGGCTCCGGGGTTCAGCAGGGCTTCCAGCCCCATGGTCTGGCATGGGGGCCGGTGCTCTCAACCCTTCCCACAGGCCTCTCAGAGGTGGACCACTAGTCTCTTTGTCCCTGAGTGTGGTACAGTGGAAAAGCACAATCCACCCAAAATACCTGGGCTCTAGTCCTCTAGTCCAGTGCTGTCAGTGGCTGTGCTACCTGGGAAACTCCTCTTAACCTCTCTGAGCCCCAGTCCCTCACCTAGCAGATGCCTGGCCAAGATGAGGATCCCAGGACATGTTGTAAGGATGAATGTATGCAATCATGCCCTCTTAGAGGGTTGCAGGGGCATGAGGGGGCTCAAATGACATACCGTGAGAATATCTGGGAGACTGGAAGCCACAGACGACAGCTATTTCTGCCCCTCGGAGGGACTTTCTGCCCCTTCCCTTTACCCCACTCTGCTTACTCTGCTCCCAATTCTATCTCCTCCCCTTATCTGTGAGCCATGGAATTGTTCAAAACTCCCTTTACCTGCCTCCAGAACTCTCTAGCTCTCTGGGCACACTTTCATTGTTATACCAGCCCTGGGAGGGAAAAACATTTGCCATCTCCCTTTTTTCCATTGGC